ATAGTAAATATAATGATAATATTTATAAAAGACTTTAATTATATAAAGTTAATTATACAAGTTCTTGAAACAAAAAGACAATATTAATATATACATATTTAGTACCTCTTAATTAAACATTACTAATATTTTAATATTTAATTTATAAACTACTTATTTGGAAAAATAATTATTATGTTATATAATAAAATTATATAAAAATATACAAAAATAATTTAATTAAAAATATAATCTAGAGGATAATGATTCTAGTATAGTAATTAAGTTATTATTCTCTAAGCAATAGGTTCAGAATTCAAATTTTATTGGTAGCAGAATTTTGAAAAATAGTTTTATTATGACAATTTGAACAAGATATCTGAAATTATAACTCTGTAATTCTGGTTATACTAAGACTAACTTTAGAAGTATACAATATTAGACAAAGAAATTTAAAAAGTATATACTCTATAAAAAATTCTGTTTAGAAGTTCTAAGTAAAAAGGTAATACAATTTTTAACAGTACTATCTATAAAAATTTTGATTTAAAGAAGAAAATCTAGAGCAAGTAACTTTTATGAATAAGAATTTTTAGATAAAGAGATCTACCAACCTAGCTATTAATTGATCTAAACATAAAGTTGAGCTTACTGAATTTGTAGTATAGGAGAACTTATAAGAATAGACAAAATACTAGTAAGATAGGGTTTTTTAAATCCAAATCAAAACAAATATTAAGTTAATTTGAATTTGGTTAAATCAAATATGTTTTTGATTTGATTTGATCAAATATTTGAATTAAATATTTGAATTTAATTTGATTTTTAAAAAAATTTAAAATTTTGATTGATAAATAAAAAACTTGATTTATAAAAATAGTATTATATTAATCAATCTTAAGCTCTTAAGTAAAAATGGTTGACTAAACAAAATAATTCTAATTTAATAAACCAAAATAGTTTGATTGTCTTAATAAAATTTCAAGTAAATAACTTATAATTTTGAATATTTAATTATAAATTTTCAAATCAAATCAAATTAAATTTGACCATATTTGAATTTGATTTAATTTGAAAATTTCAAATTTAAATTTGATTTAAACTTAAATATTTGATCAAATTAAATCAAATTAAATTGCAGAATTCTATAATAAACTTATAAAAATAGATATTAAAATTGTATAAACTTTAAAAAAGTATAGCAATTTAATAATTAGATCTAATTGTAAGTATTAGTTTAATCATAATATATAAGTTCAGATTTGTTATAAATAGAAATACAGAAGGTTTTAGAAAGTTTATCTTGAAGATAAATTAATTTTAAAGTTAAGACAGAAATTCAGAATATATAAGTTTGTAAAGTTGATATAGATTATAGGTTCAGAAAGTTTAAATAAAATATTCAAGTAGAGATGTTAGATATAACAATTAGTAAAAAACTTTTAAGTAAACTTCTTAAATAGATAATACAGAAAAATTATATATATAATTAGTTGTATGCTTTTTCTATAATAGTTTCTATAGAACTATGTTATTCAAAAAATAGTAATTAAATCAAAAAATCAAAAAGAACATCTTAATACCAAAAAATATATATATAATCTAAAATAACTAAAACTAAAATAATAATAAAAAATTTCTAGAATTAATAGTATAACAATTATGTTTTAAAATTACAAATTACAAGGTTATCTATTTAAATCCTAATAAAAGTAATTGTAAAAATATATTTCTAAAAATAAGAAACTATAAAATTATAGTATCAAGAATTCAGAACATTTAAGAACAAACTTATTTCTAGAAATAACAAATAATCTGTAATTAAAAAACTATACAGTAAAAAACACAAGTTAGAACTTGAATTGGAATAATTAAAATTATGAAATGTAATGTAAGATCAAAAATTTGATACTTATAGATATTATATGAACTTACAATATACAACTAGTTCTGAATAAAACCTGGTGAAACCTTCTGATTCTAATAAAGGTCAATGCAATAAATTACTTTAAAAGATTTAAAAATATAAGCCAAGAGAGGTTAAAATCTAGTAACTTTTAATATATATTAAAAACATTGTTTGCAAATATATATAAACACAAAAAATCTTGACAAAATTGTCAAAAAAAAAAAAATAATAATAATAAAAAGAATAAACACAAAAACAAACTATAATAAAAAATTAGTTCTATTAAATTAAAAAACATTTTTAATAAATCATAATAAAAATATTATAAAAAACTAATACATAAAGTAATCTAATATTTAAAATATATTTTAAAATATTAAATCAAGTAACAGTCACATTTATATGAAAGTCTATAATGAAAAAATTTAAAATTTACCAACCTTTGAAATTTATAAAATTTATAATATAACATCACTAAGATTATTATAACTCCTTGAATATAACCAGAATTGTTCTAAATTGAGTAGATATTATGCTGAAAGCATGTGCTATATAGTAGTAAAATATTACTAAAATAGTGTAACTTCGAGTATAATTAGAATTATCCTAAGCATGTGCTATATAGTAGTAAAATATTACTATGTAGAATAGTGTAACTTCGAGTATAATTAGAATTATCCTAAGCATGTGCAAAATATGTTCTAGACCAATGTTGTATAAAGAAGTTACCCAGGCAATTGATCTGCGTCAGCCAATCAGATAAATGTCGCCTTATGAAATAACAAGAGTTATACGTTAAGTCCGGTTCAGTTTAACTCGACTTCAATAGTCTAGTCTTTATTAAAGTTCGGTTCCGAGTCAGACTTTGAACCGAACTTTAATAAAGAATCGACTCCAAAGCGTCGAGTCGAACTTTTAACATCCCTATACGTATCATTTAAATCATATAAGCAATAGTCATAATAATAATAATAAAGTAAAATACAAGAAAATAAGTGCTTAAACTGCAATTAAAAATAACAAGAAATTTTACATATAATGAGTAACAATTTAATCCTATAGGCCCAAACTTAAATTTTAATTTCACGTAATTAGTACAATACCTGAAATTAAATTTGAATTAGATGCTAACAATCATTGTAAAATTTAGTTGCACATACGAACATGGGCTTCAAACTTTAGACTCGGATTTAAACTTTTGTTGCAATGTACAGTAGTTAACCACGGTTACACGGAAAATCAAAAAAAATCGCTATATCGTGAATACAGGAATATCGGTACCGGTACCGATACTGATTCTTCAACCTTTGTTTTCTTAGAATAATTTATCAAAATATTTGTTCAACTCCACTAATCTTGATTTAAAAAGGAGGGTTAGAGTGCAACAATTATGTTAATTCAATTGGTTTTCCATGTAACCGTAACGAACTTTTAGAGAGCATGCTGTTTCCAATGACTTTATAATAAGAAATTTGCTATCCACTCTTTGATAAAAATATTATTTAACGTTAACACCGATATAACCTAAAATACCGAACCATAGTTGCCCAGATACGTAAATACAAGATATCGATATGATAAATCTACGTCGGTATTTGCTAATTTAACCATCCATTTAATTATTTATTGATATAATATGGACGCAAACTAGCTTTTGATTCACCACAATGTATTTATCATACAATAAACAACATGTATCCGAATAGCTTTTGCGCATAAATTTTTTTTTTACAAAAGCCTTTTTTTTAAATCCTTTTGCATCAAAAGAAGAGAGAAAGACATAAAATCATTCAATTACGTTAAAGGAATTATTTGATAACCACTTTAGAAACACAAATACATGTTCAAATTTCATACTTTTAGACGATTTACACCAAATTATATATACATTATGTGGTCTACTCTTTATTTTTCATTCATTGGATTGCATTTCTCTTGCAATATCTAGAAATTGAAATTTTTCGTTAAAACGTAAGTATTGAATAAGTTAACTAAATTTAACTATTATTTACCTTCGGCCTTCCTTCTGACATCATCAATATCGCCAACCATATAAAAAGCTGCTTCTGGTAGATCATCACATTTGCCTTCAAGAATTTCTTTAAATGAACGGATTGTATCCTTTAGCTTAACTAAACGACCTTCGAATCCAGTAAAGACTTGGGCAACAGCAAATGGTTGACTCTATAAATAGAATAGGACACAATTTGTGAGATACCAGTAATGAAAAATGACTTGAATTTATGTTTTATAAAATTAAGAAATCATATGCTTACCAAAAATCTTTGAATTTTTCTCGCACGTTCGACAGTTTGCTACACACAAAATATGTAAGCATCAAATTATTCTATATTGTTGAAAAATGACAACTCAACGAATAATCTTACTTTATCTTCCTCTGATAATTCGTCCATACCCAAAATGGCGATAATATCTTGTAAAGATTTATAGTCTTGGAGAGTCTTTTGAACATCTGTAGCGACTCGATAATGCTCTTCACCGACGACCCTAGGATCTAACAAACGAGATTTTGAGTCAAGTGGGTCTACTGCTGGGTAAATACCGAGCTCGGCAATTGAACGGGATAAGACAGTTGTAGCATCCAAATGACTGTCATTAAAAAAAAAGGAGAAAAAAAAATATAGATATATATATATCGAGCTGTATTTTTTTATAACTAAATAGAAATTCTTTTTTGTTATTAAAGCATTTAAGTTAACCTGAAAGTTGTGGCAGGTGCGGGATCTGTCAAGTCATCTGCTGGGACGTACACGGCTTGAACTGAAGTTATAGAACCTTTCTTGGTTGTTGTAATTCTTTCCTGCATACCACCCATATCTGTTTAAATGGTTTGAATTAATAATATGCATTGTTATATTATAATGAGTAACAAGTAGAAAAATCCTTACCAGTACTAAAAAATGGCCAATTTAGGTTATGAAAATCGAATGTATTTATGTCTTAATCAAAAAGCGTAAAAAGATTAAACTACCTTAGCGTAGGCTGATAACCTACAGCGGAAGGAATACGACCTAACAAAGCAGACACTTCAGAACCAGCTTGAGTGAAGCGGAAGATGTTATCAATGAAGAGTAAGACATCTTGGCCTTCGTCGTCTCGGAAGTATTCAGCAAGGGTAAGTCCGGTCAATGCAACACGTGCACGTGCACCAGGGGGTTCATTCATTTGACCGAAAACAAGTGCTGCCTTAGATTCGCCGTCAAGTTTTATTACACCGGTTTGTATCATTTCATGATACAAGTCATTCCCTTCACGAGTTCGCTCTCCGACTCCAGTAAAAACAGAATAACCACCATGAGCTTTGGCAATGTTATTTATAAGTTCTTGAATTAAGACGGTTTTTCCGACACCTGCTCCACCGAAAAGGCCAATTTTACCACCCCTAGCGTAAGGTGCTAACAAGTCAACAACTTTGATACCAGTTTCCAGAACTTCTGGAACTGTCGATTGATCAACAAATGCCGGTGCCTCTGCATGAATAGGCGCTGTTTTTTTCGTTTTGACAGGTCCACGCTCGTCAATTGGTTCTCCAATAACATTAAGAATACGACCCAAACACTCTGGACCGACTGGAATTCTAATTGGAGACCCGGTGTCCACTACTTTTTGGCCACGAACAAGACCTATTAAAAAGAACGATGAACGAATCGTATTTATTCATACAATTTAGGAAACAAAAGATATATCAATAGTTATTGAAAATAGTTAAAGACCTTCTGTTCCGTCCATAGCTATAGTCCGCACAACATTTTGTCCTAAATGTTGAGCAACCTCAAGTACAAGGCGACCACCATCTCTTTGAACTTCCAAAGAATTTAAAATAGGTGGTAAACTTTTTTCATCAAATTGAACATCAACTACTGCACCAATGACAGCCTGGACTACACCAAAATTTTCACCCTTCGTTTCAGTAGCAAATGTACGGCCTAATTAAGAAATGAATTTAACACTTTCCTGAGCATAACTACAAAAAAAAAAAAAAAAAAAAGAGCACCTATGAAACTACTGGCTTTTAAACCGCCGGTTCTATATAAATTTCTAAAAGGGATACTATTGAGTACTGGCTTTTGTCTTAAAAGCCGAGTCGCCGCACGATGAATAAAAGTCATTTTTCAAATGCCGCATCTAAGTATCAACCGAAAAAATATTTTTTTCGAATCTTTAAAGTACCTTGATGATCTTTGTACTACCATTGAAAAATTTTGATAATCAATCAGATGTCACGTTTTACGTACTGTTATAACTCCGTCGCAATTAGTGTTTCGGTAATCTTCCACCATGGTGAAAAACTCATTAGCCTTTGAAGCAGAAACTTTTCGTAAAATTCAACCTCAGGAATATTTACGTAGATTTATTCAAGGACATATTAGACCCGATGGAAGATCATTAAGCCAATTTCGCCCAACCACGGTTAATCAAAGTAAATTATTAGTTTTGTGTTTTAAAGCATTCAATATAGTCACTAATAAAACTTATTTCAGGTTGTATAACGACTACAAACGGATCTTCTATGGTCAGGATAGGGAATACTACCGTCGTTTGTGGTATAAAAGCTGAAGTGGCCACACCTAAATTTAATACACCTCTAGAAGGATACTTAGGTATCATTTTAGCGAATTTGATATGGTAAAATATATCAAAAGATAACAATCATTTTTCCGCACATTCATAGTTCCGAACATCGATCTCTCACCTATTTGTTCTCCAAAGTTTAAACCTGGGCCACCGGGTGAACTGGCCCAAGTGTTAAGTGAAAATTTGAATAATCTACTAAAAAGGTAAATTTCATGAATATCTTTAGGCATTCTCAATGATAAAATAACTATGTATTTTATTTATGATTTTTATTATTTTATTTTATTTTATTTTATTTTATTTTATTTTATTTTATTTTATTTTATTTTATTTTATTTTATTTTATTTTATTTT